CTTTACAAACTACCCAGTTCCAGGTATTTTATCATAAGCAACAGAAATGGACTAATTCATATAGTGAAGATAAAACCACTCCCCTAAAAAGTTTGGCAGGAATGAATGAGATAATGTACATATAAGGTGCCTGAACTTAAGAAATACAGTACTCCTCTTTTCTATAGAATATCTGTATATGTATATATTTACTAAAAACCAAGCAAGATATTTCATTTGTTCTAAATTCTAGTTATTTAAAAATTTAGACCAACATGGTTAAAACATCAACTTACAACATAAGATTCTTTAAAATATTGTGATGTCATAAATAAAACATAATTATATATTATTTTGATGAGTATATTTCCTTATTCCTATATAGTATTTCTATTTCTTAAAAATTACATTCTAAAAAACAAACCTCTCCATGGTTGAAAAAGTAACACAGTACTGTAATGATACCTCCTAGTTGAGTCCCGCTGTAAAAAAAAAAAAAAAGTATATAATCATCATTCATGTAAAATAGTTTTTCTCAAAATTTAAAATAATAGTTTTCCATATCTAAAACATAATACTACTAAACTGTGTATTAGTAAGAATGTTGAAAGTACCCGTGTAGTTGATGTTTTAGTCTTGAATGTACTAGCATACAAAGTGTATGTATAAAGTAATCTAAATTTTACAATTTATTATCCTTAAAATATTGTCTAAATAAAATATATAAGGTGTGAAAATAAAATATTTTTTAACAAATAGGTCAGCACTTCAGAGTCTATATCATGTTCTTTGAATATTCTGAATAGACGCAAACTTTTGTCCTTTGAAATTGGATTTGAGTGACTGAGAGATGAAGACAACAGTCTAGCATTTTCATCTGGCAGTAACTCAGAACTATCCAAACTACTGCAAATATTCTTTCGTTGAGTACCAAAGAAGCAATAATGTAGAATACAAAAATCAGACAAAATTGGCTAATAATCATCAAAGAGTAAGAACCGTTCTTAAGTTGCTTCTTAGTGACTGTGTGTGTGTGTGTACACGCGGACGCTGAAGCCCACGTCTGTGTTGTGTTTCCACGTCTTCCTACACACACCCCTCCACGCCCCACTTCTCTAGTCCACCACATTCTAAGCACCATGCGAACAGGTTCTTCATCTGTTTTGTTCACCACTGTATCCCCAGCTCCACACTTGCAAGACAATAAGTATTGGTTCAATACATGAAGGAAGGATTAATTCAAAAAAGCAAGCAGAGAAAAACTAATGGGAAGTGATTTACCATTAATAGACTTTCACCAAAGGAAAGCAAAGGATGCACTTTAAAACAAAAAACTGAAAAAAGGAAGATGTTAGAAGCAAGGACAAATTGCACCTATAGGGACGGGAACACATGGATAAATCTAAACTTAAGATTTGACAACAAAAAACAATAGTGATGGCTGCTGTGGAGGGGTAATAAGTGTACTAAACTATTGTAATAACATGTAATAAGTGAAAGAATATTTTGAAGTAAAGCATTCTAAATTTCCTAGTGTTGATCAGAAGAAGGGGAAAGATACCAATTCATTTTAGACCTGATCAAGTGAGAAATGCATTTTACCGTTAACCACCAAAGAATGGAAACAGAGTATCTACCTTCCGAGTTAGTGCCAGGGTGGCCAGGGTAAGAAACACAAAATTTCCCCCAAATTCCTATTTCTTTTTTTTCTCATATGCCATAGTTTCCAATCTTCTCACATTTTTGGTGACACTTTTATAGCCAATATTGGTTATATCTACATATCCTTCTTAAAGATGGTAGCCTAATAATGTATTTGATATTCCAGAAATGTATAACCACCTTAGAGAAACTATCATCTCTTGGGTAGTTCTCCCAATGAAAAATAATGATTTAAAAAAAGCTTAGTCACTGTTGTGCAAATTTTTCCATATTAAAAAACAAAAAAGAAAATGCAAACTTTTTCAAAAACAGAATATTCTTAAGCCTGCCAAAACAATCTCAAAGTAATCCTTTGCCCTCAAAATACTCTGATGAACTTATATATGGCATATTTGGTATGTAGAAAATTGTATAAAATTTCTAATTTACAGAACAATTATAAAGTGAACATCCATGTAGCAAACATATAATTGAAATACAGAAACGATTGCTCCCTGAGTCCACAGTTGCCACCCTGAGGCAGCCACTATCCTGATCTTTAACTATCAATATAACCACCTTTTTATATGTATCAAACAATGATTTACTTTCATCTGCTTTTAAAATTTATACAAACGGAAGTATGCAATATTTTAAAAATTTAGTATCTGGCTTCATTCATTCAAAATTATAATTCTAAGATTTATCGGTGTTGATGTGTGTAGCTGTGTAGTTCATTAGTTCTCATTACTTTATAGTATTCCACCATGTTAATAAGCAAAAATTGATTCACTTCTCTACTAATGCACATTTGGGTTATTTCTAGTTTGGGATTACAAATAATGCTGCTATACTCTTGTACCGGTGTACATGTGCAAGAGCTGTTTGGGAGTCTATACATTAAATTGGAATTGCTGAGTATAAGGTATCCACAACACTTTCGACTTTACTAGATAATGCATACTGTTTTCCAAAACAGCTGATTATACTAATTTATATGTCCACCTGTGGTGAATGAAAGTTCCTTTACCAATCTACTAGATGTGAAATGGTATTTCACTGTGGTTTGAATGATAACTAATGCTGATGGTTAACTTTACATATGTTTATTGCCACTTGGAATTCTTCTGGGAAATGTCTATTCATAAATATTTTGTTCATTTTTCTGTCAGGTTGTCTATCTTCTTTGGGTTTTTTT